CTTCACTCGCCGCTACACCGAAATGGCCATTCCTTTCAACGAACGCGCTGAACTTCGGTCCGGCTACAGCTCTCAGAATATCTCCTGTTTTTTCCGTCTAATTGACCGGGACTCTGTGTGGGGCTATGAACTTGGCCTCAAGTCCCTGATCCCAACCGTCCTCACCATTAGCATCCTGGGCTACCAGTTCATCTTGCCAGACATGATTGGAGGCAATGCCTATCCCAATCGTACTGATGGAAACGGCAAGCTACCAGACCGTGAGCTCTATATTCGGTGGCTGGAGCTGTCTGCTTTCATGCCCTCCATGCAGTTCTCCATTCCGCCATGGGAGTATGATGATGAAGTGGTGGCTATCGCTCAACGGTTCACCGAACTACATGAGACACTGGTGGCTCCCAGGGTCATAGAACTGGCTGGAGAAGTTCTGGACACTGGGGACCCCATAATTCGCCCATTATGGTGGATCGCCACCAGTGATGAAACGGCTTATAGAGTTGACTCACAGTTTTTGATAGGAGATGACTTGATGGTGGCACCAGTACTGGAGCCGGGCAAGCAAGAAAGGGATATCTATTTACCAGCTGGACGCTGGAAAAGTTACAAAGGAGAACGATTTGACAACAAAGAGCCAATACACCTAACAGATTATCCAGTTGATCTTGATGAAATTGCTTACTTTGAATGGGTTCAGTAAGATTTATGGCAAGCATCTGGAGTTTTGAGCATGTCTTCCATTTAAAGTGTTTGTGAAGGTGTTGATTTTTTTCTTCTTCAGGGAAATTAGCTAAAGTTATTCATCCAGGGTTAGGTTTTACAATATAAAACAGGACTGTTTAAGAACTAAGCTTCCGGTAGCACATTCTGACATTCTTCATCAGTTTGGCTGTGATGTTTTGTGCCATTACGACAGTTAAACATGCATTAGATATCTGAAGCTAATGTCTTAATCCGTGCCTTGCATTTAAACAGTGAATGTCTTTGAGATACCGGCCCAAAGCCTTGACACAATTAAGCTTTTACATATGCATCTTGCCAAACATACTGACTTTGAGGATGCTAAGGATGTATTAATGGGCTGTGACAGGTAATTTTGCACAATGTATGCTTTGTGTTCTCTAATCTGCATTTTAAACAAGGGAAATTTTACCAGTACTGTACATAAGTCTTCCTCTTGCAAGGCATACAATATTCATTACTTTTCAAATGTTCTTCTCAACTTGTTCAATTTTGCTAGTGCATTTACAACAGTATGGCTTTTTAACCTGCAAGCAATGGCAATGCTGCACTACAGTAAAGTTAGGCCATGCATGCAGCACATTTGTGCATAATCTGCCCTACGCTTGTCTCGTAAGCACCAATAATTGATATAATCACATTAGAAGTTTGTATGTGTAATGGGTGCTTGTGGCTGCATTGGAAATGACCAGCAGTCTTTTTTACTCTACTTGCTATACTGTCATCATGTAGTGCCAAATGCATCACCAACAGACCTTGTTCAAGCATTACCCCATTACTGCCACATTTACAGAAACATTTCTTGCCACATAAAATACAGTTGTTTGTCTTTTCATATTAAATCGATGTGTGTTGCTCATCTTGTTTTGAGTATTATGCTGTGCTGCCTAATTTTTGTGTTTTGCAATAAGGGCACAACACTAAATGCTTAGTCAGTTAATCTTTATCAGATTATATTTTTGATGTGCAAGGGTCACCTTTGTGTTTGTTGTGTTTGTTTAATGCTCTTCCAGCAGGCTGACAACCAACTCGCACTGCAAGCTTTCTCTAATCTATGACCTTCAAGCTTATTTTTAGCTCTTCTCACACAACTGTGAAAGCGCACTCAGCTACTTTGGTGAAACAATGAATCTGTCAAGCAAAGTGTCTGCTCTAAAAG